AGCACTGAACTGTCTCCGTGTTTCATGAGCTATAACATGAAACAACATTCACCAAAGAGTTTTCTGTTCATTTTTCTCTGAATCATTTATTGCATAAAAAGGTTATGCACTTTTACGTGTCATAATAGGCTGTTCTCCACAGGGTGCTCCCCAATGACTATTGTTTATTGTGCTCCCCAAGCAGCACTGCATGCATTGGAGATCACAATAAATCCCCCCTCCCCTGAAGACTACAGAAGAGAAGCCAACAGACACATTAGACTGAAAAATACACAAAGCCATTGATGCCATCGCCTTATGGTAATAAGAACACAACAGGCAGCAGCAAAGCAGAACCAGTCAGCATAATAAGTGAGAATGAAAGCTTGTCAGGTTGTACGGACCACCTCACACCTTCATTGAACATGACTGCTGACTGGTTAGCTTACAGTGCCTGTAAAGTGGCTGCTCAACCAGAACTAACCCCTCTGCATCAGGGTTGTTAATGAGTGTATTTTACAGGATTATTCCCAATTATAAGATTTTGAACACAGGAGTCATATTTTCAATGTTTAATCCAGAAGTTTATTAGCACGTTTTCCTTTTACGGTTTCCTGATTTCCAAGGCACAACGCCATTTGGATGTAAAACAGTGATAATTAAGGACAAGTCTGACAGTGTTATCGTAAAATCAACCCACCTCAGCAGGAGAAGTAAAAGCCTAAAGTTGTGTTATAAAAAGAAATCGAAACAGGCTGTTTCAGGGAGTCATTCAGTGCCTGCATATGTCCTTCAGACTTAATTTAATACATTTATAATCTCATTCATGATTTTATGTAAGACTCACATTACTGTTCCTCTTGAAGCAGCTGTAAGTTTTCTCTGCTGCCGAATGTGGTTTCTTGCCGGGGGCGAATGGTGGTGATGGTTACTTGCCAAGAGCTTCAGCCATCACTGCATTTACAATACAAGAGGTTATAGTATGCCCTCTGAGCAGCACTACGTCTTCAGGGTGGACTGGACGCTACAGTGACACGCTATCAGTAAATGACAAGACAGTCAGCCATATCAGGGACTTGAGACTTTGTGTGAAGTTGGGAGGGTTTCCTACAGTTCACACACCTACAGAAAAGCATGACCAGCTGAAGTAGCAGGACATGTATGGCATCACACAGGTCCCTCTCACAGCAGATCTTGTATATTAGATGTTAGAGTTGAGGAGAGAGTTGGAGTGGCTTCCTGTTGAGCCGGGACTGTGGGCGACTGCACAAACTGGGTTGATGACTCAGTGTGAAAAAGATAAAACATGAGAGACAGAGACAGAGAGAGAGAGAGAGAGATCGATAGAACAGTATAGTGGTGATCATCCCAGACGCACAGGCTGCACAGCCCACTGTCATCTCCCTCTCATCTGTCTCCCTCCACAGCTAACTACGCTGTAAGGCAGGCAGCAGTCGGCTGTTGCCTACTTGCTTTACTTTGGAAAAAAAAAAAAAAAAGACGTTCTCTCATGAAGTTAAAATCCAGAAAATGCAAATGCTTTAAATAGTTGTGCATCCTGCAGCAGTAACTGTGCAGAAGACAGACGGGAGGAGCAGAGCGGCAGAGTGAGGTTCAGGATCACAGACAAGAAAAACTTGCCTGTGGTTACCTTACCCTGTGGTTGCTCTTACCGTTACTTCTATAGCGTCTTTCTGAGGGCAAAGCCCAAAGTGCAGAGGTTGGAAAGAGTTCAGTTTATTCCTAACATTCAGATTTCTGTACCACATGTGCATATTGAAGGATAAAATACTTTACGCCTGGGTCTCAAACTAGATACAGTCTCTGTTGCTTTCTTAATAATGTAATCAGTATTCTTTGTGAACGTTGTCTTTAATCGCTGATATTTAAACATACACTTGCTTTTTTTGTGGGTGGGTCCAGTGATAGTCAAAAGTTAATCAAGAGTGTCTTGTGTGTTGCTAGAAGGCAACAGAGGTGATCAAATCAATACCTTGTGGTGCACCTGTTGTTAGACACTGTTTGTAGTCTATTGGACATAAAATCCAATAGTCAAACAAACAAAATAAGAGTTCACTACATTCATACTATACTTGTCTGGTTCCAGCTGCAGCATAAGTATCACACCTTTAGACTTTTTATATGCAAACTGGAGGATGTCAACAGCAGCAGGTGTTCAATGTTTATTCAAAACTTCTCTCTGAAGATTTTAACTGCTTATGTTCTTAGATTATTAATGAGTTATGAGTTTATGCTTTTGACACTGATCACATAACGTGTCTCAGTCAGAGTTGATAAAGTGAGCACGATGCAACCATTTGGAGAAAGTAATGATTTAGTGACCTCTGCTGTTCAGTGTTTAGCATTACAGTCAATGGAACTAAAGAGAAATGTCTTCACATGTTTAATTGCTTATTAACAGTATCTTTGATCTACATGCTTTCTTCACAGAAGCATATAAAAAAGCATATCAAGCATATCAAAAAAACTGAATGTAAATGTCCTGTCTTTTTGCATGTGACTTTTGCTGCATCACTGCCACACCTGAGATCTGTCTGTTGCTCCTGGGTTTCCTCACACTGTCAGGCTGCATCCCGCTCACCTCACAATGTGCCTCAGTGGCCATACAACCTATACATGGCGCTGTGGCACAAGCTCACAATGCTGTCTGAAGTGCAGCCCCATGGCTAACGTCCACACTCCTCCCCCTTAACACACAAACATAACAATATTGTCATTGGCAGCTATTTTACAGATCTCTCTGCATCATTACATACAGATAGCCTACATACAGCCAATAAACCATATGTCATAAATATTCCAGCGTGCAACCTATTGGACTTTTCTGTTGTTTGCAAAAATGCAAGCAGCTCTTTGCATTGGCAACATTTGACTACAATTGAGAGCATTAAAATGCCATAATAATAGTACATACTTTACATAACACTGTACAAACACAGCAGAAACTAGTTTTTGAAAGTATTTTTGCTGCCTTTTCATACCTGCATATTCCTGACGCGACCTGCAAGTGTCCTTTTACAGATTGAAACTGCTGCCACCCTCAGAGAAGTCAGGTAGCAGAAGAACAAATGCATCTTGCACAACAGGTTGTGCAAGTGGAAAAATAATTAATATAAGGTAATTATTTGCCAAACCTCAGTCACACCCAGAGCCTTCATTTCTTCACCATCCAGGTGTTGGTTGATGACATGTTTGGGCACAACACTTTTAACAGGAAAGATTGGAACATTATTAATGGGACCGCCCTGTGTCTTTAAGATAAAAGAGATTATTGACAGGCTTCGCCCTCAGATGGTGTCACACTATTGTTAGTGATTTTAGTGAGAAAAAAGCAGAGATACAAACTTAAAATTACAGGAAAAAATGGTCTAATTGTCTATTAACAGGACTCGCTTCTGAGGATCTATCATGTCACATCATGTGCTGTGCTCCAAGATGGTGATATTTTGGAGAAAGGATATTCTGTCGAGGCTTTTACAGCCTAGTCATGGGGAAACGGCAATTTTTCTATATGTGCCTATTTTCTGAAATATAGCACACTCACTGCAAACAAGATTCGTCAATGCAAAGATACAGAAGGCAGACAGATCAATAGCAATGTGGCACAGCAGGACAAGACGGCATGTTGTTCAGCAACCTGCTGAGACACAGTGCTGCACATCTGGAAGAGCATCCCAGCAGGTTAACAGGTGGAGTTCAGCGGGATCAGGATCGAGAGGGTCCTTCCAGCTGCCACATGCTACATCAACAGTATTTCCTGTAACCAGGATAGGAGCGACTACTACTGTCTCCTGGAGGATGAAGGCTTCAGTCTGGCAGACAAAGGCAGACAGAAGCCATCAACCAGACTGATGAACGGTTGTGACAAAAGAGAATGAGACAGAGGGAGGGAAAAAAGAATAAAACAGACAGAGGTCAGACGACCACAGACAGTCCAGGAGAGATGAGACAGACTCCTTGGTTTTCATGTGCTCCTGATAGCAGGTTAGAAAGGTGCCACAAATTATTTAGAAAGAAAAACAACTGCCTCATCAACAAAGACAAAGAGAGGTGATTGAAAAGTCACACAGGGGAATAGCTACTGATTTCAACAGTGATTATTCTCCTTACAAAAGAAAGAAAGAACAAACAAATTCTGAACGATTTCTCAGGGAGAATTAGCCTATACATGAGGACCCATCCTCAAAGACTTTCAGGTCTTTCAACTTTCAACATAACAATTCAAGTGATAATTATTCTTTTATCAATATAACAGATTTTCTTTTCTTACAAGTCACAATCAGATTTCTGGCACATTAATTGTAAATGAATGTAAATTTGAACTGGTGATGTTAAACGTGTGTGGATATTCTCTCCGCTGATTTGTCCACTGGTAAAATATGGTATTTGGTTTTAGTGCATCATCCTCTTCAGACCTGCACTGCTATTCTTTCAAAAAACAAAATATATAAATACTTATTTTAAAAAAAAAGTTACATGCCACCCTTAATGACACATAAACAAAGATCAGGATCCTGTAGAACTGTTAAAGTGTTGAGTTCACCATTTGTTAAAGGTGAGCAACAGAAAATTCACTTTATATCTTAAATCCATTAAATCCTCATCATTCAGTTTTACATGTTTGAGTTTAGTTACTTTCAAATTTAAAGTCCATTTTCTTAAAGTGTGATTGTTTAATCCTGATCCACCACTTCATCCCCATGACAACAGTGACTGTTGTCACTGTCACTCAGGTTTCTCTGTGTTGGGGCTTAACCTGAGCTTCACACTGATCCTGCACTGACCGAATAAGCCTTCTTCACAAATTCAGTGGTGTTTCCCTTTAAACGAAAAAAAAAAAACCCGACGTAACGTGACGCAGATGCTTCCATCCATATACCCTTGTGCCTCTCCTCACGCGGCAACCATCCAGCGCACCTCCTGCATCCCCCTGGCCCAGCCCCCCTTCCTCCCCCAGCCTTCTCCTCTCCTCCCCTCCTTCCCGGGCGTGTGAGCCCGGATCACCGCTCCATCCAGCGGAGCTCTTGGCGAAGAACCGCTGGGAAACAATGAAAACCGAGGCTATAGATGCACGACAGGACTAAAGGCGTTGCAGGAGAGGGGGCAAATGCAGGTAAGCGAGGCCGGGGCTTGTCATTGACATCACCAGCGTCATTGGCCGCTGCAGAGCTGTCATTTTGCGGAGGATGCGTCTGTGGAGTGGAGATAGTGCAGTGTGCATGAAGGACTGGAAATTATATATGAATGGAGTAATCTTGCAGGAAACGTATGGAGCTTGGCGTTTATTTGAATCCCTGTGTGTTCCGCAGGGCTCAGGCTAATTCCTGCTGTGCGTGTGTTTATTTTGATGCAGCTGATGGAGGGATGCTGCGCAGTGCGCTCCGGCAGATGTTTTGCGCGTCTTGACATCCTGTGCGCCCATGTTTGAGCGTGTAACTCCCCGGGGCCTTTGGGCGTCAGATGCACGTTTCCACCGGTGTCAGCGTCATAACAGGCTGGGCACTTAAACGTACTTTTCTTGGTGAATAGAAACGATCCTGACTGCTGCCCTGGCTCTGCACGGAGAAACAGCTCACTGTGTCACAGACCCAAAGTAAGTGCCGTCCATGTTTGTAGGAAGCAAAGTCGTGACATGTTGCCTGGCGCCGCAGTTTGACCTTGCAGCATTTTCTGTTTTTCAGGACCGCACATCCCACCTGACCGATAACAGAAGCTCAGCTGCTTTCTGTGTGGCTTTCAAATGTTGCGAGCGAGTTGCTCTAATCACATCAAGGCTTCATCCAATTTCAGCGAGGCTGCAGCCCATGGGGTTAGCCCAGTGCTCATTGGATTTACTTCAATTTATCTGCCAGATCTTTACAATAAAAGCCTAGAAACCTATTTCTTAATGTAACACCAAAGAAGAGTCAGAAGGACTGGGTTACAGTGTAGGGCTGAGTTTGGTTGGAGATTCTGTCAGTAACCTTGGAACAAAAACATATGCTTGTTTATATATACATATCATTGTGACAATTGATGGTGACTGATGGTCTGACTATTGTAAGAATTAAGCATGTCGATACAGCAAAATACACCACTTACTCACAGGCACTCCTGAATGAATATAGCATTGGCTGGAATATGACACAATGGGCCCATGGGACAGACATGTACCCACCCCACACCCCAAACATGAGCCAGACATCCAGACTGAAACGGATGCTTTGTGCTCATTTCACATCTCTTTGTATTTGTTTTGCATCTTTGTATTTGCTTTGCATCTCTTTGTTGCTGGTGTTGCTGGTTTGTGTCTCTTTGCAGCCATTTTGTCCTTCTTTGTTGTTGTTTTGTGTCTCTGAACTCTTGACTGACTTTTCCAAACACATCTGGCAGATGTTCTGGCCCAGGGCCCCCACTGCCCCGTTGTAGGCCCGCTCTATAATCCTCTCATGCATATAAAAAAGAAATTTATTTTATGCCTTCACAGTGTCTGAAATGCAGAGGTGGGGAAAGCAGAACACAACATGCCCTGGCTGCAGAGACAGAGCTCAGTGTTGTTTACTGTCCTCTGCTACAGGTCACTTTTGTCCTTTGCAGCATGGCCATCTTGTCAGCAGCAGGCTCCTCCATTCGCAACCAATGGCAGCTCTCCTTCTGCTCACGTTCCTCACGAGTGGCGGATTGACCGTCGCCATGGTGACTTGGCAGTCGTTTGCACAGCATGGTGTTTGCTCAAATGCGCCCATGTTGGGAAAATGTCTAATTCTGTCTTTTTTTCTCCTGTAATAATCATCAGCACAAACTATTATTGAGCTATAAGAGTGCAGCACTGCAGCAGTGGTCTCTGCATGCTACACTTCACTTCATCTCTGTATTTGTGTAAAATCTCCATAGGCCTCTTGCACACAGAACATGTAGCCATCAGTCTCCTCTGGACTGTTGGTTGTATTGTCAGTCACAGCAATTAACTCCACCACTACTCATGCTGCTGGGGAGGAGCAGCATTTCCATATAAGTGGATTTAGCCTGTATGAAAGGGAAACATGTCACTGCCAATCTCAGTGGTTTTCACTATAATTAGAGATAGTGTTACTAATAAGCTGTGTAGCTGTGGGGGGAAAAGGGCAAGTGTGTATGGGTGCTCCAGACATTTGAAAATATCAGTAAGCTTAATGAGATATTTTAGTTATTCTCCACGGCCTGAGCCAGTGGCTCCCAAACATTTTGTCACCCTTTAAAGAGAAGCAGTGTCTCCTCACGCCACCTTGACGCAGGTTATGTATTTCAATTAGTGACGAGGCCTGAGCAGGTCAAACACACAGGATTTTACTGTAAAATAAGATCGGAGAAAAGTCTCTACTCGTACCTTTCTCATAGGGGGTGCTCTGTTTTTACATGATTATGTAATAAACAGTTTTGTCCAAGTTATTAAAATGCCTTTCTTTATTATCACCCTTCATGTTAATATGGGAACGTGTTAGCAAATCACTTCCCTTTTAAACATCCAGCAGATGTGGAGCAACATGAGCGTCATCATTTGCTGCTCTATTTTAGTCTCCACCAACTCCTGAGGGGAAAACTTGCTGGTTAGCTGCTCCAGTATGTTTACCATTTGTCTCTAATGTTGCCTGTCAACTGTTGGTGCTGTGCAGGTAGCACAGAGTGGGGTTTTTGTGCCGTCTGCCGCGGCCCTGAGAGCGATTCAAAACATTAAAGCTACAAGCCAGAAAACCAAAACAACCAGCTGAAAGTTACTATCAAGGTCTGTAGAGCTGAGGGGAGCTGCAGAGCCGGATGTTTGTCACTTGTGTGTGACCCTTTTCACATACATGCAATCCCTTTTTAATATGAAAATATTTGTTCAGGCAATCCTGTGGTCCTAACTTGCCTTGAGGCTCCAGGTATGAGGCGTGGAGACATGCTCCTAACTGCAGCCTGACCAAGAAAAGAAAAGGATCTGATGTCATTCATCAATTAAACAATAATTATTTCGAAATCAAAGTATACAACTGTACCTGGGGCGTACCTGGGTTCTGAATACCTCCCATGATATAGGAGTTGTAAAGTGGAAATGTGGGGGAAAAAAAGGGCATAGACTATTTCTGTGCTAAAATATATCAATAAACCTGTTTATTAAACACAAAATAAACTGAATATCTTATGGGGTAATAAAGATAACGTTTGCACAATATTTTGACATGAGGAAATTGACTCCTACATGCCAGCCCCTAACTGTTCTTGTAAGCAAACAAAAATAATGACAACGTTCAGCATAAAAGGAGCTACAAACTAAAAAATAAGAAAAGTCAATTCAAAATATGTCCAACTTAAAGTGTTTGTGTGTGATACTGTGAAAGTATCACACACAAAGTAAGCACACAACTTGTATTCAGTAACTGAGCCTTAAAACGAGTCGTCAGGACTTCTGTAACTTTGTCATGTCACAATTAAGCAGTCGTGCCCCAAGCCCAGCCCGCCATTCAACCTTGCAGGATTTGGTTTCTCTCTGTTCACCAAATATATCTTATTACTAAAATCAACACTTCAAATAAAACACACAGGAGAAGTGTAAAATAAGTGGCTGTTAGGCATTTCTCACATTTAAAGCCCAGTTTATGTTGTTAGGGTTTACTTGTGACTCAAAGCGGCAATACTCAATATTTTTATTTTAACTATCGAACAAATGACTGTGTAATGTGAGAGGGGTCGCTCCAGAAACAACTTTAAATGCTAATGTTGTTGGATGTGTACACTGGCAAGTGTTTTCTAATGTTTGCTGCATCATCATGAAGATATGATACTATTTTTAGCATAGAATTTACTGTCTTACCTTATCAGTGCGTCTTCATCCTGAATGGAGCCTGATGTAGAGAGAGAGAGTGACAGATTTTAATGTGTGAACTCCTGTCTCCTCCCACATGGTATTAATGTGATTGTGAATATTGATTTCCTATTTTCAATCAATGCTCTTTGGCTGTCTTGGCTTGGAGAAAAATAGTTTGCACGGACTATTAGCATGATCACTTAGGCTGCAGCGCTCTGGCACGCTTTTAATCGCTGCTTCTTGGCTCACTAATGACAAACCCATGGCATAATATATTTTGAGCTTTTGACCTGATTAAGCAGATATGAGATTCCCAGTTGTCTCAGATAAGAGTCGTGTAAAGTGCCTCAGCCAAACTAGTGCCATGTGCATTTTACACAGAATTTGCAGCCAAATGAGGGCCAACTCCTGTCAAAATCCAGAGACTATGGTGCAAAAAGTCTGAAAGAAACCCTTTGCAGGGGATTACTGAAGATTATATGTTCATGTGTTAGGAGAAGGTGATGTGATCTCCTCTTCCTTCTTTTTCCCTTTCACCCTGTGTGTATGTGTGTGTTGTGTTGATAGTTGGTCCAGTAAAATCTGTGCTGTAGCTTTATTGCTGTGCTCTGCTGGATCTTAGCTAAGCTGGTCTGCATCCACTGCAGCAGCAGGGTGACTCTGCAGGACTGGCCTGATCTGTGTACCCTGCGAAAACCGAAAGTCATCGTTTTAGCTTTGTATTGAACATTAATTACCTTCAGCCTGCGTTTACAGGGAAGGGGATTTGATGAATACGTGAGTATATTCTGGAGTTCGTATACTCTGCTTCACTCGAACGCGTTCTTCATTCTTGGAGTGCATGCATGTTCACAGAGCTAGGGAGGCTTGAAGGAAAAGTGTAGTCGCTAATTATGAAACTATCCACTCTGCTCTTGTGCTTCATGTTTTCCATTAGAATTGAAATCACTTTGGTGGCTTGTACTGTAGGCAGAGTAATTTGTATTCCACAGCTCAAAGAGCCTTCACTGCAGTGTCTGCATGTACCAGCATGCATTGCACATCAACTGCTCAAAACCAAACAGCTGTTTTTGTTCTTTATCATGTTTAATGAAAGCAAACACAACAAGCATTACATATACAACAGCTGAGTAATGGTTACTTGTGTGGATGGTAAAGGTCAAGCAAACCCCCATTTTAAAGGTCCCATATTGTATAAAATGAGATTTCCATGTCTTTTTTGATTATAAAGCAGGTCTACGTTCTATATTAATACTGTGAAAGTATCACTGCTCTCAGTCCCCAGAGAAAGGCACTCAGCCTGTATTCGG